TGAAATCTGTGTACACGTATAAAAATTATTAAAAAAAAAAAAAAAAACGTGAAATCGGAAAAACCGAACGAACGTGTGAAAATGAAAAAAAAAAAATAATTGCGAAACGAAACGATACGAAAAAAACGCAGACGGCGACGATGCCGACGAACGTGACGGGAATGAGTACGTTGGCTGGCGGAGTATCAGGAGTGCCGGCAGCTGCGATGCCCGGAGGACTTCAGAGCGCCGGTATGGCGAGCATCGAGCTCGGCAAGAAGCGGATGCGCGACTCCAATGATGATCTGCTAATGGTACCACGGCTTATGCATGGAGTACACTTTCCTTTTTTTCGTAGCTGGACTCTGGCAAAGTAGCCTCGACGTCTATTTTCGCGGCTGTTTTCGCGCAAGAACCTTCGACACGTGCATACCGTTTTCCAAATTTTTGTAATGTAAAAGAAAATATCGGAGAAGTAAGAAATTTACAATACAACAAAATAATGTTAACGATATTTTGAATGCGTATTCACGTGATACGTGAACGTTAGAAAAAATTTATATATTGGCTATGACATTGGCTATGTTTATCATTAGTCGCTAGTTTATCATTAGTTTATCTAGTCGCGATATTGACAAATTTTCAACATCGTTAATCAGGAATGCAAGAAATTAATCCCTGGCAGTATCATATAATCTTGTAGAATTTCCAACTGGTGTTTGCTCGTACTTGCTGATAGTTGTACTCGATTCACGAAACTTTGCAAATGGACAGGTTTAGACGGACATTCTATGTCGTAAATGTAATCGACCTTGCTTCTGCCAGGCTCGTGCTACAAGCTACGGAGTTTGTGTGGTAAAAGTTTAGGCGGCCGCGACGAAACGGTTCCAGGCCATTTTCCAGAGATTCCACGTAGTCGTATCTTTAAGTTATGAGTACAGTTATTGCGATTGTGAATACACTGCCGAGCGCGCTTAGAGCTCTAGCTCCTGTCTTCCATTTTTTATTTCTAACAAGAGTCCCGCTGTTTCTCTATCGAATAGAAAGAAAAAACGGAAACGTTTCGGTGAAACCTTACAGCCGACAGCGTGTAAGCTTAACGATACGAGATGTCGCGTTTCTGCCAACGTGGTGTTGTGATTGAAGCGTACTAGAATACCGATAACATCATATACGGCGCCATAACTGAAACCTCTATGAGCCTTGTATATGGCATCATTATTGAAACCTCTCTAATGTCGGTATCATCCTGTAGAATATTACTGTAGAAACCTTCACGATATTGTCACGTAAGGCGCGATCACGATTGAAACCTTTGTGCTGTAACGCGATAAATAATCGCGATAACGAAAAAAGAATTTGTTTGAAAACAAGTCTATAATATTAACAAAACGTCACTTATGACTACGCGAGTGAACTTCTTTTTGGTTAAAAAGATTTTCCCAAACTTACTTAGTACAAGTCGGCACGAAAGGATTTGCAAGATATAAAAATTGTAACATTCCATTCTACTGTGACGCTTATATTTCAAATGTTTAGTCTCGTATCGTTCTCGGGTTGTATACGATATCGCATCGATTTCTGTTCAAAGATAATCACGTAAAAGATTCTAGAAACTATCTTTTTTTTTTTCTCTTAGTTTCGCTTTCCACTGTCGTTCGTTGCAATGTTGTTCGTATCAGAGCTTACGCCTCGTAATGTATTTATAGATCGCTTACTACTTTTTTTTTTAATCGTTAGCCACGTATTTATATTGTTACGAATATTAAAGAGATCCCTTTCTGTAGGGGGTGCACGAAGTGCATATTCCATCAAAGTTTTATCCATGCGGAGGAACATTAAGCGTGGCTAGCGAGTATATGATTTAACATACATTTATCCCTTGGCGATTCCTCGACCAATGAAATTAGCGGATCCACGATCGCGTGAAAGGACTACACTTTTCATCACGATTGTCATCCGCTCGTTGGTCGCGCTTACATTTCGAGACACGCACGCACTGTTGAAACACTTAAGGAAAATTTCAGTTAGATTGCAAATGATATACTTGAAAATACGTCTATCTTTAATCCTTTAATGTTTGACAAAAATTATATGATCGCGATGTGCGTTATCTCTCTTTCTATTTCCTTATTATATTTTATGCGAGTGCGTGAATAGTGGCTTTCTTATTATATTAATATACTCTTTGTATCGTGGATAATTGATTACTTGTTTTAACAAAATATTTGTCCGAGACATTTAACCACCAGAATTATATTGGTATTTGAAAAAAAAAATGAAGCAACGATTGATATGATTTGCAATGAAAAAAATGAATTAAAAAGTTTTGAAAGGAGTAAGTAAAGAACTGGAGATCACTCAACGTTAAAGGATTAATAAAATGGAAAAGAACTCTTGTGAATGTGAAGGAATCGCGAATATCGATGCGGAAGTGCGCACGTGTTTTGATGCGAGCTCGGTAAGGAAACCGTCGACTCTAATCTCCGTATGTCAGGACCCCCTCACGAAACGAAACGGAAAAAGAGAATAAAGAGGGCGAGTCGTGAGGCCCTAAAGGCTCGCACTTTCGCGGTATGCTACGAATCCTGCATACCGCGGTGCTGCGTCTACGGAGCGTTAGATCTGTGTAAATTCTGAGCTTGCGCCGATGATGCATGTTGTGCTTAAGCGACTATCGAGGTGATGGTGGACGTAACGTCATCCCCTCGACGCTCTGGACGATGACCGAAGTTTTGGCAGTTCTTGTCGCGGAGGATCGTCGAGCGGGCCGTCATCGCCGTGACGCGTTTCGAAATTTGCCGTCCGCGTGACGGCTTCCCTAGTCTTCGTTAGAGTCATGTCGAGTCTGCTAAAGAGCACTGTAGATCGCTTACATACACTCGCTACTTTTTTTAATACTACTCTTTCTTTTACTTCTTTATATATATATATATATATATATAATCACATACGTATCTCGCTCTTTCTCTCTATCTCTCCGTCGCTAATACTGTCAATCAGCATCTAAAGCGCGATCGACAGATTTGTTTCGGGTTTGAAACGTAATTTATCCATATGCAACTTTCTAACTTCGTGCTCCAGGACGAAAATGGATTTTCGCTGTACAAATAGAGGCTTCCTTCAGAAAGCGCGCATAACTTCTCGGTATTTTCGGTACGCGAGTTTTCAATACGCGAAGAGAAAGAAGAAGTGCCTGCATAGAATCCATATAAATTCATAAGAATGCAAACTCTTGTTGCAGAAATGTATCAATATTTCAAAACAAAAATTTTGAAACGCGATAACACTGAGACAGTCAAATGCGAATGCATTTTCGCTGTACGCATACAAAATGTATTATACGATATGAGAATTACGGATCTTTGATGAATTTGAAAGTTTTCTGTAGTACAAAAAGATAACGAAATATTTTTTTTAGCAAACTTTAAATGAATGTTTTCATGTGAGTTATATACGTCATAATTGGATAGAAATACTCAATTTTTAAAAGTTATGTCAAATTTTGATTAGCGCTTAGACGGTTCTAAATTTATTTAAGAAAGCAATGCTATATTTTACTTTGTAAAACGTATTAATCGTATTAATTTTAAAGCGCATTAATTCTAAAGCGCTTTTGTTTTTACGGTATTTTTAATACGGAGAAACAAAAAATTTGGTGAAAACTTTTGCTGGTGAAAACTTAAAACGCAATATATTTTCGGCAGGCTTAGTAGACAGCAACATTCGATACGAATGATAAAGAATTGAAAGGCGCGTTGCCTTTTGCGTGACCAGCTGATTGCATTCTTAAGCAATGAAAAACGCAGTGTGACTCGCTTTCGCGCACACGCTTACTGGCGACGTTCGCAATTACGAATTTATTTTGTTGCGTTAGTCGTGAACGCATCGAAGGCGATCAAAGGCGATCAAAGGAGCGAGTTCGGAGTCGTTCACACGCATAGTCGCGGTTTTTGAAAATGATATCCGTGCGTCGTTACGACTCCGAGTGTTTCGTTGGTGAGCAAACCGCGGGAACACGTGTTAACACGCATATACATATATGTATGTATCTGTGCCGCTGTGACAACTATGTTTCACCCCGGCCACTTTACTATAAGTCAGCTTCTGAGCTTTTGCATCTCGTCTACCGCAGCTTCTAACTCGAACGTGTTTTACACCTCGATAGAGATTTTGATTTGGCTTTCCCCTCTTTGTTGCGCACGCGTCTGTTTCGCGCAGGTGACTTACCAAAGTGCTCGCTCACCAAGTATCACCGCAAGCCTATATCAGCTTTCGTGAATCCGTGTTGTGCAACTTTCGCATCGCGTCGGTATCGCGAAGCCTTTTGTTCTCCGAGCCAAGCCCAACTGCGCCTTTTATATTAATATCTCTCTTGTCGATCTTGCTCTTTCTTTTTCTCTTTTTCTCTTCTATCTTTCTCTTTATATCTTTCTCTTCAGTCTCTCCGTTTTGCTCGCAAAGGAGGAAAGATTCATTTGTCTTCACATTTATCTCGCGAAAATGAACGAAAAGCTTTCAGATCGGACATTAGCATCGACAACTTTGTTACTGCGCGATTCCTGCTTCTTCGCTCTCGCAATATTCTTAATAGGAAGGCGACAGTGCAGTTTTCCGATCGGTATTTTGATCGTTTATTAATATAAGGCGACGGTCTCTCTTTAATCGAGCCGCGCAACGGTCCTCGATACTAACAATGGCTGGTTTTTCTGACACGCTCCCAATAGTAGAAACAGAGGAAAAGTGTAAAAGAAAGAAAGAAAGAAAGAACGAACGAAACATTTTGCAGTTATCCAACAACGAAACGTCGTCGTTTGGGAACGTCGCCGCAAGCTGCGTCATCGGCACAACTTTTACACACTACCACAGTCCAACACCCTTCTCTACCGCGCCACCGTCTACCCTCCCCCATTTCTTTGAGACACGACCCTCTCTCGTTTCCCGTCTCGAAAATCCAATTATACAGACGCAACGCGCCTCGTCCTCGAAATTAGTTGAAACCGATCCTGTCTTTGTTGCAGATGGACATGAAGTCTGTCGGGTCGTTCTACTACGAGAACTTTGTAAGTGCAGAACCTAAACATTGAATCATAATTCATATGATCCATTTCTTCGTGCGTATCATTCCATTTATACTCGCGATTAATATTCATCTCTTTCCATCCAGGAGATATTTATTTCTTACAGCAAGATATAAAAATTCTATTGACAAAATTCTTTTTGAATTATCATTAAATTTGCAAGCTTATCTTAATCTTAAAATGGAGCATTATCGATTTAACGAGATAGCAGCGATCGTTTCTTTCTAAAACAGTGATGATATTGCTGAAAGGTAGATATGATTCCTTCCGGCTGCGGTATATGCGATTAATTGCTGTTTTGCAAAGAAGACAAAAAATCAGAATCATCATTGTAACAATACATCGATATCAATTCATTTTAAAATACCATTTATTACAAATTACGATTGAATTTGATTGGAATTTGACGAAAGAGGTTAGTCTTTTGACCGCCTCGTCGTGGAAAATGTCAAACCCGACACAGTCCCCTGCACAGCTGGATCAAGAAAACTCATGAGCACGCAAAAGAGAACAATATATCGTATCCCCGGCCGAAACGGAGTCGAGGCTTTCATGGAGGAAGCTTCCGCTCGAATGGCCACGTTGCTCGCGTCACAAACTCATTCTAATCATGAATCTCTTTGCAATTCTTTTTGCAGGCCTTCCCAGGGATGGTTCCGTATAAACGACCGGCGGCCGACAAGTCCGGCGTGCCGGTCTATCAGCCTACCGGTGCGACGACCTATCAACAGTTAATGCAGCTGCAGCAGCCCTTCGTGCCTGTGTCATGTGAGTACACTGGAACACCACCCCTACCCACTCAAACCTCTAACCAATCGGTCGTGCAACCCCCGAACGTGCAAAGCAACCACCACGCGATAGTGGTGCAATCCTCCTCCTCCCAGGGAGCCGCTGGCGCAACAGTCAATAACTGCGCTGACGCCAACAATGGCGTGCTGATGGATCCCAACAATCCGCCGCCGCCACCTCCGACCGCTGACAATAACAGTAACAATAGTAACGGCAATAACAAGCAACCGATTACCACGCAGAATCATGATGAAAATTCGCGTAACTCCCCCGAATTGAATCATTCGAGTCCGTCGTCTCTGCAGCAGCAACAACAACAGCAACAGCAGCAGCAGGTATCTCAACAACAACACCAACACCAACAGCAACAACAACAAATCAACCAGTTGGCGCTATCACCAGCGATGAGTCCATTGACTTCTATGGCCAGCCTGACCTCAATGCCTGGTATGGTGAACATGGCCTCGATGGCTTCTATGGCCTCCATGGCAAATATGTCATCGATAACGAACATCACTTCAATGGGCAATTATAACGCTGCTTCTAATATGGCGAGCCTAAATATGCTCAACAGTCTCGGAATGGCCTCTGGATTACCAGCTCCTCTCGATCCAGCGACTCTCGCCAAAGAGGTCGCCCAGAAAAACTATGCTAAAGCCCTTAAGCTCTCGCAGGTCTCGCAGTCTTACGGCATTGGTCAGCTCGCACTTAATTACACTGGCGTCGCTCTGAATAAACAAAATCTCATGAATCCCGCCGCGGCGGCCGCCGGGAATCCCGCGGTGGCAGCAGCCAATCTGCAAGCCACCGCGGCGACTCCCAGACCTGTCATCCCGAGTCTGGCCGGTATCCCGAGTGCCTTGACCTCACCGCTGTCCGCGGGTATCTTGGCGTACTCCAGACCGCCACCCACAGCGACCCCCCTAAATCCATATTCTCTGATCAGGCAGCAGATCTTGCCGAATCCATATGTTCAGTCGATACCCGGTGCTGCGACCGTACAAACCAATCCCTACGTCCAGAATCCATACGCTGTTCTACCTGCAGTGGCCAGTGTACCCGGAGTAGCGGCAGGCGTCGCGGCCGCGGCTGCGGCCGCAGGTGTACCGCAGATACCGCAGATAGGCAACCCGGCGACAATAGCGGCGCAGCCGCAGGTAGCGATCCCCGTCAGTTCTGGGGTGATCATGCAACCGTACAAGAAGATGAAGACATCGTAAAGACACCTTATCTACCGGCTCGGGAAGACTCGTCTCTTCTCACAAAAGTGCCGTTCCTTCCTTCGGGCACCTTCCACTCTCTCCCTCGCGACGAACGAACGAACGATTCCGCGAAAGTCACTGCGGATGATGATTGCTGCTACCGATGATCGCGGTAGTGATATTTTAGATAATTCTAGAGTACCTTTACGATTAGTATTCAATTGCGAGGATGAAGGATGAATTGTAAAAATTATTACGTTTCTGAACTTTCGCAATTGTATTTTTGTAGTTTTGTAGTTTCAGTCCGAAATGAGAAAACGCGTTTAGAAATAGTAGCGTTTGTGGAAGTAAAAAAATAAAATAAAATAAAATTGAGCTAAATGGATATTTGATACATTAGTTTACAATAATTACAATAATGCCCAGTGCGAATTAGTTCTAGAATGTTATACTTTTCGGCATAAATTACATAGTGAAGATTAGTGAACTTCTTGTCATGTATATGTTGTTATTTGATTTTTCTATATTTTGCTGATAAAAGTGTATTAAAGAGAAAAGAGAAAGAAAGATAGAATATAATTAATATATATATATATACATATATATATATATATATATATATACACATTCTTTATACTATATACAAAATATAATACGAATTGCAATTTATTAGCTTTAATTTTATTCGATATTAAAAAAATTACGCGTATTTAAATCTTTGACTACATCGATGAAACAGAAAAATAAAAGTGCAGTCCTAAGATATTAACCTTCATCGCCGATGCTAAAAAAGCGAGAAATCGATCTTCGTTCGCGAGAGGGATGGAATATTCAGTTAAGCGATTGCGAGACGAGAGATGCTGATATACAAAAACAAGTTCCGAAAATAGATTCATTTTCTAGTCAGACATTGTCGGTGAACAGTGCCTTATTGACCTGATTCCATTTGGAGCGTTATAAGCGTACAATTGAGAAGAGAACGGTAAAGGAAGTACGGGATTTTTTCCCATCATATTACCTGCTTGCATGACTGAGAGAGACGTGACTACCGTTCCGATCTTATTTCTGTCGAAATAAACTTAAATTTAATTTCGACTTTAATATTTTAACTGGATGTTTTAACTGGAAATTTTGACTTGCCGATAAAGATTGCATTCGAGAGAAGACGAGAGAGTTTACGATTATGCGTGGCCGAAGTCACGAATTACATTAATCATCTATTTTATTATTTGATCTTTTTTTTTTAGAGTAATAGCGATTTGCGATATACTTTATAGAGATAGTTTTTAATTATGCCGATAATTAGCGTTGTTTTACTGCAGAGAACTATTGAAAATGTTATGTGTCGTTACGTGGCTCCGTTTTATTCTTTTAATAGGCTAAATTGTAAATAAGTCAATTTCCGCCGTAAAAAAAAAAAACGGCGTCGCAATATTTTTATTTCGAAATTACATAAATTTTTGTGTTATAGCTATTCGTCCAAATTTTAACGTCTAACGTCCGGAACAAAGAAAAAAAAAAACGACGCTCGGCCTATGTCACGTTATATGCGATACTTGCCGTTAAGTCCGTAGTGTTAATTAGCATTCGTGCGTTTAGAGTTATTGAAATAATTATTATCCAAAGTTGGATTATTTTACTAGAGCACACGATTCGCTTATTTATATATTATAATAATATGTTCAAAATTTTATTTTGTTTGTTCATTTCGAAAGAAAGTTAAATAATGTTAAATGAAAAGAATTCGCACAATATTGATTTTAACATTTTAGTATCATGTGCATTCAAAAAACTGTTTTTTTTTTTTCGTTATCACATGATATATTTTGAATTATACGAGGCTTATGCGTGATATTTGTTAATATTTAAAAAAAATTGTTTTAACATTTTTATTGACTTAATCTGTCTTTTTTAAAATTTAGTTATAAGAATACATATTATGTCTACATATAGCGACGTATATATATTTCCTAAAAACACCTTGCACATCGACGATAAATTCGACTGGAAGATGCGACGCTTCCGGTAGGCCCTTAGTTGTCATGTAATGTGCGTATAGAATTTAGAATAGTTATTTGTTTTATACTTAGCGTATCTTTAGCATAAGCGTGCTCGAACACAACGTACTCTTCTGTCCTGACGGATTCAATTCGGGGGAGTCTGTTGAACATAATGAACTTCGTCAATTGCGACCTACGAGCTTATGCATTTAGCCGAATGAGAAAAGTACAGAAAATAATGGAGAAAGAGAAAGAGAAACAGCGGATCCGTGTGATATGCGGATGTATTTACGTGAAATTGAAGGGAGACCGAGGAGGGAGAGTAAAAAAAATGATTGGTCCAACCTTGAAGGCGGTGAGACGGGAAGAGAAACGTCTCGTCGATTGCCACTCTCGAGGGTGGGAAGAAAAAACGAGTTCACATGCGCATCGTGGTACACGACCGCACAAACATTACACTTAAGACACTCACACGACTTACATGATAGACACATTGCGTATATTTTTATTAATTCGCGCGTATAACGGTAAGAGAGGAAAGCGGTTATGCGATGCTAACTGAGAGAGCGGAATTTCTATGTGAAAAAATACAAAGAAATGTATTCATACTAACATCTACTTTCTTCTCTTCCGTATGTCCGCATTCACGCGTTTGCCAGTGATTTGAAAGTTTGTTAAGTCCAAATGTATAGTTATAATAAACATACATACATATGTATATGTATATGTATGTATACATGCGTTTGTAAATAATTTTTTTTAAAACAGAACGAAATTGGAAGATATTTGTTGTATATGTTAAAATTATATGCATATATATATATATATATATATATATATTGTACATGTATGATATATTTAATATCTTGACATTAAATTATCTATGATATTAAGATATCATATATTTAATATATATTTAATATATGATATCTTATACACTGTTATACATATATGTATGGAGAGAACATTCACTGGCATGTTTAGTGGAGAAGAAACGAAATGGCCGGTCGTATCATAATTTTCATGAAAAAAACCGAGTGAACGAATTGTGCAGCGGTAGAAATTTGTGTACACGAAAACGTGAAAGAACAGAGCAAGGTGAGGTATTTCCCAGAATCCCGGCACGTATGCAAGTGAAATACTTTTAACGCTTCGTGCGCGAAAAGTTCACGATATACGTATCTTAAATCTCTCTCGTAAAAGTTTAGTTTTAATCCTGGTCCTGGTCGTGACGTAGCAAATTGTAATTGCTAAGAAATTTTATTCGGATTACAATGTCGTATGTCTCCTCTTGGTTTAAAAAAAGCTCAAGAGGATATGAATGGAGAATAAGGTACATTACCTCACAATTCCTTTGATTCTTTCGCGGTATTAGAAACAACTTCTTCCAAGGGATCATGAAATATCATCTATTCAGAAAACGCACAAGATTGTAGAATGAGATTGTCTTATAATAATTTTAGAATAGATTTTTAATTAATAATAATGAATTGTAAAACAATTTAAGCCGTACATTTATACGGACTGCACATAATTTAAAGAGCAACACACAAAACACCCTTTTATAGATTTCAGAGAAAGATATCTCTCGTTCGCCTACTGATTTAATGTTATTGCCTATCTTATAAATTTTTTTTACTTTATATATAATTGTATAAATGATGAACATAGTATAATTTGACGATTTGAATAATATTTTATAAATATCTCTTCCACGATGTAAACTGTAATTGTCCTTCTTTTGAAATGGCGAATCTACATATTTTTTAAACATTCGTAAGTTATACATTTATAATCGACGAAGTATTCTATAATTAACATTTACAATGTTATATTTTATTTTTCCTTGAGAATAATAGATTTTTACTAAGATTTGCAAGTAGGTAATGGTTCTCGCTTTAGAATCAGAATTGAGAATTCTCAAGGGTATCATGGGGTCTTCCATAACGAACGCCACGAGAACGCTCTTCGAGCGCCGTTTTATATTAGTGACTAAGGGAATTTATTGAGACACCTGTCCCGGAGGGAAGAAATTGTTTCTATCTTTACGATAAACGCGCGTGCGGCGGTCCTATGTGATAATATGTAATTGTATTACACTTATACATATGTACACACGTACACGCACACACTGTTCTCGCATGCGCGTGGCACTGGAGTATAATAAGATTAGCCCTTTCAGTGCCTTGTATGGCGTTAACATGCAATTCACGATCAGTACTTATGATACTATGATTATCATACACGTGACGTCATTGGCGCTAAAGGGCCTCGAGAAGATAACGATATATAATACGTTAATCCATAAGCAAAGTTCTAACTTGGACAAGCCGAGGATTTGGCGATAACGCGCGATAAAGTTCCGATTCCGTAACGACAACTCCATAAGGTACAAGAATAGTGAGAGAGTCGATAGGATCGAGCCTGAAATATTGATCACGGACCGACACTTTTAGGGTTCCTGAACTTGATGTCTACAAATTATATACGTACATTATCGAAAGGGTGGCTGATTTTTTTTTTTTAAATTCACACCGAAAACCCGGAATCGCGTTCTGGGCTCGACGCGATTCAGTCCAAGCGATCGATCAGTCGTCGCCGTTGTTGCATCAGATGTAGCGAAATGTTTCCTTAGAACTGTGATTGTTTTATCGCAAAGCTACTACGTACTTCCATGAGAGGAATGTTCATTATATTTTACTAGACGAGAGTGTATTCTTTTAAAGGATATGTATTAATGTAGGATGTCTTGTACACGGATAATGAAGAAGTAGGAGACGCAATCCCGTGTTCTCGGTGTGACATCGGCAAAACAGCGGAAGTGCCTTCCCCTTGCACTCTATACACCATTGCACACAGAGAAACACGTATACAACAAATGCCTACATTATTTAAACACGCGACGCAGGAACGAAGCATTACGATAAAGAAGAAAAAAGTGAAACTTACACAATATATAATTATATTTATATACCCTTATTAAGATAAATCATATATATATATACATATACATACACACACACACACACACACACACACACACACACACACACACACACACAGACACGTACATATTATCGTTGTTGCATATATAAGTTAACGCAATGCAACGAAAGGAAAGGAAATAAGGACATATTCCACAAGGTAACTAATTACACATACAAAAAACTCTTTTTGTGGACTATGTATCTGTATATATACATAACCACAGGTATACACATACACACATGTTCGAATACACTACTATGATGAGAAAGAGGAAAACGTTTTACGACTATAACTATACACGCATCAGATAGTATTTATTATTGTGTACTGTACTGTCTCTTATAATTCTTCTCATTGTACATTATTATACATATACGTATGTAAAACATATATATATATATATATACACACATACCAGAGCTCACACATATGTAATATCGATATGTCGAGAGTACATTACGCACGATCTCGGGAATGTAGATACAAAAAGTCCGCGCGCATCTTCAGTAATTGTACGCGCGCGTGAATCTACTTGACAATGAATCTGTCCGAATTCTTTCGTTCGTAATTACCATAGTGTTGTGTGTACTCGCGCGTCTATGTGTGTGCGCTGATGCGATCGGGATTTTAACATCGTCCTCGTGCGAGGCACGACGAAAAGTGATGAAACGCGACAGCTTGCGCCGACTCGAGATAGAGAGATGTAGTCGATCTCGTCAGTCTCGAATGCGTTTTTTTGCGCGTGCACGCTCACGGGGTTTGTCAAGGAGTCAGCCAGTATTTGTAATAATAATGCTTGAGAAATGCATGAATATTTGTTTTATTAATGCTTCTTCTTATTTCATCTCTTTCTATGATAAAAAGAAAAAAAAAAATGAAACAGAACTTCCCGAGACTCGCTAATCCCTTGTAATATTTATATTTATACATATATATATATTATATATATACTTGTGTATTATTCGATATTGCGCCCATTATTGCTCACAATCTTAGCCTCGCTTCCTGCTTCCCTTGTTTTTAATCTCCCCTTATTCGGAATCTATTCGACTCAGTGCTTGTATCGTAATCACTTTCTCTTTAACTTTTTATTTAAATTTTTATTATTATTTTTCTTTGATGTTACATATCATATTGTTTGCGCGTACCGCTGCGATCGGTGCAACGTCATGCCGATCGCAATTTCTCGCAGATCAATTTATTATGTTAATTTATTACATTTCTTCCTGCAGATATAGCTCCTCCTTAAACGGGATGTTCCTTCACTCATGTCGCGTGCCCTTGGCGAAAAAAATTCTTGCCGTCGTTGTATCCATTGCTCGTCTGCGAATCGTTGCGAAATTAATTTTTTTCTACGATTCGCGACATTTTTCTCACTCGCCGAGAGCACGTGAATTACGCCAAGCACGCGAGTCCTCTTAAAGACCACGTAGATGTTAGCCGCTTTTACTATGGGCGAACACCGTAAAAAGAGTTCTATACGACTCGCTGTCTTCTTCTCGTCTATTTTTCTCCTAATCTTCACCTCCTACGTTTCCATTTCCACACCCTCACAGCTTTTCCCGCGCTTTAGTTGCGATATTCTTGAGGCACGGAGGAGATGTATCCGATATATGTTAATATTTATATATCCTGAGCCCACACATCGATTCCTGGTCTCTCCCATTATTCTGTACAATCGCCACATCAAGCTCCGTTCCCCGGCAAAGATAGTTGATCGTCATCGAGAAGAAGGTCGGCGCTCTTATCGCGTTTTATCGTGCTCTCGCAAGTCGTATATTTCGAACGTGGAGTAAAAATAAATCCTGGAACACAGTATAAGTTTTTCTGCTTTACGTCGACTTCGATCGGTAATCACAAACGAATGAATTTTTTACGTTGTAATTAAATTCGCGTTGTCGTTGCCTTGATGAAATCCGATTTTATTTACGCTACGTTCGTAGTACACGGCTTCTGTATTTTCGGGAGACGATTTGGAATTTTGGATTGAAAAAATAGAATACGAGAATTGTTCAAAATAAAAGTTATTCCGATATTGATAATTAAAGCATGTGATATAACGGACTCGTTTCACTTATTGCGACCTTTTTCAATTATTCTGATATATTCCCACTTCATCATCCTGCGTTCCTTTCGCTTCCTCTCCAGCTTTCTTTGTTACTCATCGCTAAGCCTGCGTAAAATGTGCGTGTGTGCCTAATGAGCTCTTCCATAATGCTTGGCACAATAAGCCTCTTGTAAATATAAAATCTTGACGAAAAAGCTGAAGATCATAGCTCCAAAACGTAAATCGCTTGCATAATATTAATAAAATTTTATTTCAGAGGCAGTTTATCATCGCGATATTGGAGTTATTGATCTTCGCGGATCGTAACAATGCTACGCAACTGCGTGATAAGTTGAGAGGCAGTAAATGACATTTTTATCAACAATTGGTCTTTTTTTGTATAATTATTATATATTTATTATAATTCACGGAGAGAAAGGAAAAAGGAGAAAGAAAAGAAAGAAAAAGAGAGGCAGCGTTATAATAAATCCTGAAAATCTGTTCATACAATGTTGCAGAAAGCAATAGCTACATATATATAAAAAAGTAAAAATTTATCCTGTCAGTTACAGCCTCGTACTTTATCGCAGCAAAATGATTTTCGCTAGCTGCTTCTAGTCGCGCTTCGTTTGCCGCTTTCGCCACGTTCGGCGAGCAGAGCCATTTCGCAGCGAATCGCAATCGGCAAATAACGTGGGTTATCTTCTCTTTTATAACGTCGACATAATTTCGCTGCGATTACAAACGCGCGCCGTGTGGCGAACCGATATCGATTGCGAACGATCGTATTCAGCCGCGATATTGCGGCTGCTAAAAGACAGCACAGCGGTCTGAAAAAAAAAGAACCAGGATGGCCGATGTAATTTGACGATTTGACGAATGCAATATACGACTGTACACGTATACGCGTATACATGTCGAGTAAGCAAATGCAATTACGCAAATACGTAAACGAAAGTTTATGGTTCTGCGTTCACGCATGGAGCAAATTAATCTGCAATCCCATATTCGCGGCGATTCGATAGTTTGTTGCCGCTCTCTAATCTTTCGGATACAACGAACGATACGCGAATGCAAATGATGGATATACGCGCAAAAAGTACATTTCAGAGCGTGATTGGTCTCTCCTACTATTAATGGTCGAACGGCGGCGATCTAGTTACTGCTTGTTTTGTTTGTTACGTGTTAAAGCACTTTATATCGACAGATGCCGAGAGAAGCCGCGGTTTCTGGAAATTCTAGTAGTAGTTCTGCTGTACTGTAATACGAGTAAGTCACTTGCTGCGCTCCGTGGCTAATAAAAATTATATGTGCTTTTGTAATATAGCCATCTTCATGATCCTTACCAGATTATTCGCCATTTAATAATATAATCAATATATTGCTGTCTATCTTCTTCTGCGCTAAAGAATTTGAACGCAAGCGACGCTTCTTGCATACCCGCATACCTGCGCCGATATTAAAAACCAACATGCAGCACTATTGTATTACATATGCAAGCTTTAGCTCTCCATCGTCATTCAACTGTATTTATTCTTATAATATATTTAATGAACTACTTTCTTATAGTGTTGGCACAGAATCACATTATAGGAGATTACGGATTTTATGTGCTTACTTCAACATTCTGTGTCTTTTCCATATGATATATACTTAGTTTAATAAGTAGTCCCCGATTTGCGTGCTAAGTGCATTCCCTGGAGACTAATGTGAAAATCAAATTCGTAAACGAGGGTATTTAACACACAGATAAGAGAATAATTAAATTTCTGAAAAGATTGCGATATATTTGCGAAAAACAGGATGAATAATCTATCCTGATGAGATATTAATGGAATGTTTCAATTAAAAATTTTCATTATAATAGGTTAACAGAGTTAAAAAAAAAAACACAGCAATTCGAGAAAAATGATCAAATAAATTGCAACAAATTGTGAAAGAGTAATTTAATTAATAAAGTTCGAAAAGATTTAACTTTCAGATTAATCTCTCTTCACTTTTATTTAGTCAATATTATTATATCTCAAAAATTTAAATTAGAAAATAAATGAGATATAATCAGAGATTTTTAAAATTTAAAATTAAGATTAAAAAGATGTCAGATTAATTTTGCTCGCTAGCGATTTTGATTCACACAGATCTGAAGTCGATTTTCTGGGAATGCATCGATCGCTCCAAATGGGAAGTCATCTGTACCTACTTGCCTGGTCAAACTGTCACCTCGACAAAACTCGATATAGACACTTACTAGCGCATGCGAACACGGTGTACTTGAAATGCAAAGCTTCATAGAGGAATGCACGAGAGCGTATTCGTTCGAAGGATTCGCTATCCGTGGCTATCTTATATTCGCGGGGTCAAGCCACGAGTTATATTATATCATAGACATGTATAGTTTAATATACTATGCAGTGCCATATACATATATACCTCTTGATTCGTTTGCAGCGCAAGAAATAAATCGGCGTGCGCGTGCGACTTCTAACGACAGGCTCTGTACGAGATGAATGTATGCCAGCCAAATACATATATGTATTACACGTATATATACATACACACACTGGTGCATGTTCAAGCGCGATCGTTCATGGTATCTCTTTCAACTTTCTGTTTCATGCTTGCCTTCGCCTGGATACCCCACCGCACGCGTCTTTCAACCGAAAATTCACCATGTGCATACCGTTTCCACTGCTTTGATCCCAACTCGACCGGTGCAATCCCGATGTCCTGTGAGAGGTCCACGTCGATCCAATCCTCTAATTGGTCTCCTGAAACATCCATGTGATCTATACGATGATTCCCGTCTGATCCTTGCTTCGCTCCGATCGAATTACACTCATGTGGCGATTGTGTGACAACTCTCCCGCTCGTACGTCGAAAATTTTCGCGACAAACTAAATATTAAACCGTCACGTTATTAATTAATGACTTAAAAAAACTTATTATCTGTCCGTAAAATTATCCCGTACATCTCACGATAAACGATAAATATGTAATAACAAAACGCGTATGCACGCATCGTCAATATTGTTGGTCGCACGCCACTTAAAATTCGATGCAAAATTGTCAATCATTTTTTTCGCGTTCGTTAACCAATCATACGACGAAACTCTGTGGTGATGGGTTGTCGGTGCTTTCTCTTCTTCCCCCTTCTGTCTTTTTTTTTTTATTTCTCACAATCACTGATCTCGTTTCGTTCGTTGGTGGCCACGCTGAATCGTTTGATAAATATTTGGCAAACGAATGAACGAAATAAAATGACATACGGATTCAAACATCATGCGACTCGCGATGATAAAACGAAAAATAAACGATATGATAATATTGATTATATATATATGAATATATATATACATATATATATATATTTATATATATTTATATATACATAACGTTGGCTTGGTATGTGTGCACCGCGCCGCATTATTTCGATGCCCGCCCATCAAATCTCGATGCCCCCGTGGACAAAATCGGAATTAATGTCTGTGCGGCACACCCTGGTACATGCATCCGTCGTTCATCGAATTTAATATGTGTATAATATTGCGCGCCCGAATACGCACGTACGTTCGCGCGCTCCAATACGCGTGGCAACCAACGCGCCGAAATCTTCTCGTTTGCACAACCATGCGTGTAAACGAACTCGAAAAAAAAAAATAATAATAATAATAAATAAATAAAACGACGGGCGCGATGACAAGCCGACGATTTACACTTTCGTTTTCCGTAATTTACGCTTTCATTTTTCTCGCGCTTTTTCACTCGTTACCGGCGTGTTTATCGGGAACGACGAACGGCTGCGGCCGCAATTTAACCGACGACTCATCATGTTCCTTCGTGGAGTGCTTAAAAAAATAAAATAAAATAAAATAAAATAATAACTCAAAATTAAATGAATGACACGTATAAAATATTTTTTTGGAACTGAACGATAAAACGAATTCGATCTCACTGTCGTACATGTACCTGGATGCTCCGAGGACACGCTCCACGCGTGTCTCCTTTGATCTGGTGCCTTCTCCACCGAATTCAACCGACTGTGGTAATGAATGACCACCAAAAAAACTACCGATACTTGAAAAAAATATACCGTACGAACACTGCCTCGTTTGCTGCATGTGGATCGCCTTAGCAGCCTTAGCCACTGTCGGGGCCCAAATGGTCCCTCAAAACGCTCACTGTGTCGTCTACACAGACAGCTGCGGACAGGTAGACTCATTATTGTAACCAGTTTTTTATCCGGTCTCGAATTTGCATCATAAGCGCCGAATTCGGATAATTGGGTGAGAGAAGTTTTAACGTGCATATCGTGCTGACTCCTCTGCTCGGCATGCAATTCTCTGAAGATCGTAATAGTGAAGACACAACCATTTCCACTGATTCGAACTTCAGGGAATCTTTCCTCATTTACGCATTGTTCTGCATAACATTGCGCGAATGATGAATTTCGTACATGACGTTACAACGTTCGTCTCTTTCTATCTAGATCGATCCTGTGGGATGTTCTTCGGATTTTAAAAATTGGATATTACGCGCTCTGATGCAAGCTCGAACTTTAATTGCTGCTAACCTTCAAGGTTAACGAGGGAAAAGGATGTTATCGCGGATATCGCTCGGATAAATGAACAGCTTTTCTTTTACTTGTGCACTGCTTAGGCAGCAGGAAACTTGACGTTTACACTTCAGTTCGGAGGAGCGAAACGTTATAATCCGCATCTCTCGGTAACCTTGGCTAACACGTAGCTTTCGGGGGCATCTCCCTCACGACTGCTCACCGCAACTATAACTGCGAATAACCACTGCCTTATCTGGTGTTTGTCTATTATTATTATTATATCAATAATTATTATTATGCTATTTCGAAAGCGTTGTCGTCACCTCTGTCCCCCTTGATCCGCCCCCCCCCCCCCCCCCACATAAACATACAGACAGACATACACACTCATACATATAAACAACGTGCACACACGAACGAACCTATTCACGAAGAAAGAGATGCACGCTTCTTATACAGTAATTAGTATATTATGATTAGTACTTTTGCCATTAAACGGTTTGCCATGTATCTATATATTATACATATACATATTATTATATATCTATCATGCCATTGTCTTGAACCGCTTGTCTGATTAACGTTGCGCGTTATTTGTGGATGAGGATATTGTCGGGATGTCTTTTTAAACATTTCTTTGTATTCGTTACGACTGAATCTAATATGCTACGTCTAAGAGCAACTTCCTTGTACGCTTCAATATCTATTTGTTTATTTTTTCTCTCGCAGTGCATCTTATCGCAAGTAGCAATTACGTTATGGACAACTGTTACATGTCTGTCGGGCGTGTATACTGCATGCTCATTAATATTATAAAACTTAGGGAGCGCGTATATATCGAGAAACCAGAGGGCATGCAATACATTCTGAGTTCTATACAAACTTGTCATCGATATGTGGAAATTATGAATATTTTGCTAATATTTCTTGTTAAACACACTTTTTTTCTAAATTGCTTTGCATAGTTGGGTGATTTTTATTTCAGTGATATCAACTGTTTTTGTTTAATGTTCAAAGTACCTAAAAATTTGACTAAAAAAATGTTAAGTTATAATAAATCTATTAAAAATTAAAATTATTTCCTGAATATTTTTTTTTATAAACTAAGGATCGTGTTACTTTATATATACGTTCTGTAAATTATTTTACAGTATGAAATATATTGTACTATAATACTATAAAACAATTCATATTTATACACATATCACATCTTTTTGTGTCAAGAGATTTTTAAGAGAGAGAGTTGTGAAAAATCTATACTTCAATTTTAACATCATGCATTTTTATTGTTTCAGAGTAAAAATTGTCCAACTAAGAACTGGTTGTTCCATCTTCAAAATAAACTATATGGTAATTTACATGTTGGATAAACAAAAAAGTAAAAAAAGTAAAAGCATAAGAGAATAAGAAAGTAAAACAGTAAGCTGAAATTTACCGAAAGGTGGAACAACTCAGCCTAAACCAGTCACATTAAACAAGAGCCTTAGCAATTATAATCTATCTTTTTTTTTTTAAAAGGTATAGTTATAAGATAACTCGTATCTTCTGGTTAGTATCGTATGCATCGCGATGATATTACACACGAAATTCGTAATATTTTCCGCAATGTCCGCGAAAAAAAAAAATGTGTCGCACGTACGCAAAAGTTCGCCGACTTTATAATTATTTGATGTATCAAAATATTCCGAATTTTGAAGAAATTGGCAGATTATTTTGTCGGAGCTGTCGGCATTTTCATTGGGCAATGACAATGGCGTGATTTACGACATGTAGAATCAAAGGGCTGACTTTTGTGACGGAACATTGACGGGACATTGACGTATAACACTACTCTTCCATTTAGGATGTTTATGAGTAATGTATTTGTGCTCTTGCCTTCCGAATTAGCATATAGCCGCGAAAAGTGATGTTACGCAAAGAGTCGAAACAAACTGATGTGAAGAGAATTCGTGTAATTTTAAAAGGACGGATATGTCTGCTTTGAAAGATCGATCTTGACCGATTTGAGAGTTAAAATCTTTGTCATGACTTACAATTAGAACAGAAATACACGCAGCTTTCAGTTGAATCGCTCATTTCCGCTTACTTGGTCAAAAAACGTGTCTATTACGCTTGCACACTGATTGCTTTCGACGCAATTAACTTCCGACTGTGAGGCACAGAAAATAGTGTACATGGGCATGGAATAAAGAAGCGCGTGCGAGCTTTACGTCTGACCGTTATTCGAACCAGTAATCATTTTTCCATTATGACAAAGCTTTCCCTGCGCACGGAAAACTGATCGGACCTACCGATCGCTGCGCATCTATCGACAATAGTTTCTTACCCATATTTTTGGCTAGCTCTGTCGTTATGGTTGCGGAGTCGCAGTTGACATAGTGTGTTGAACTTATTTGCAGTAGAATATTATTAATTTGACGGCTTACGACATCCCACATCCATATTATACGATATTGCCGATAACCGCTGATTATCCAATCCCCCCTTTCTCGCCATTGCAGCCACTCTTGTCACTTTGGTTCGCTAGCGTGGATCACCCGGAGGACTCTCTTTTCTTCCGTAGCTTCAGTAGTGAGTGGATGTGTGTGTTTCGGTCCTGTAATTCACGCACGCGAACCAGATCGACGGTGAGCTGGCTTTTGGCAGCACATTAACGCTTGGGTGATGACACTGTATTATCATTGCTGATACACGACCGCGCTCGTCGTCATCACTCCGTCGCGAGACAGAGATTCGATCATTTAATCACACTTAGTATTTGGACAACTTTTCGAGTAACACCGATGATCACCCAAGCAACGATCCCCCTTCTCCCGGGCCATTATTTGCATGACCAGACTCTGTGTTCGTAGCGAGTTATCTCTTATGCAATTGCAAGAATTGTTTATTATAATTATAATGGTTAATATTATGGTTAAACCCACTTATTACTAGCGTTATTATTACGATTATTATTATATTGTTACCTATTAATGCTATTATGACTATGTTATTATTCTCATTACTATTATGTTTAAGATCTCTCTCTTCAACTTTTGTGTTAACTTCATTATTATTATCACAATTATTACAAGTACGCAGGCTAATCTTTTGTCGAGAATTATATGATGAAATAATTTATTAGCGTTACATTTTTTCGTGATACATTTTCATATATTTTGCACGCTTCTATGGTGAGCCTATGGTATACTTTCGCGTGATTATACTTTATTTCTTTAATTATTTTTTTTTAAATTTATTTTTTCGTATATCTGTCTGGTAGGTTGTTAATGCTTTGACCTAACGTTTTGCTAACACGAAAACCGTACTCTGGAATTTGATGTTTAATCTATTTGCTGCATTTGTCTCTTATATATATATTTCGGATATACGAATAATTCTTCTAGATACGAGTGTACGTGTGTGTTTCCGTGTGTGTGTACATATAATATGCATACATCTTTTGCCATCTTTTGGGTAATAAAAGGAACGGATAGTAATTGTAGCTGGGTGGAGTTTCCGCTTCCACTTGGGTCCACTTTATTCGTATTCTTTCGATGGCCAATGTTCTGCGATTCGCATTTATGTCTTTCTCTCTTCCATATGTTATTTGTTAAATGTGGAATTATATTCATGCTCGCGAAAAATATATATTGCTCGCTTATGATTCAATATATGACTTCAACGCGAACTGTTTTCTTGTCTCCGATGATACCTGGTGCGTTTTGGCGATATACGCAATCACATGATACATGCGTACATATTATATATATACATACACACATTTATATATGTAATTATCGTTCTTATCTTGCGCGAATCGCGTTTATATTATGTCGATGTCTAGCATCGTTTTTCGATACCGGATACGAGAGTGACGGAGAGAGGAAAAAGAGCGCAGGCGCAGAGAATTTCGAACATTCCTGCCAGATCTTTCCGTTGCTTTCGCGTATTTTGTTAATACTAAAATTTCAGTCTAGTCATTGTGTTGAATATATGGCCCGCCGAGAAGAGGGCTTCCAAACCTGATTCGCAAATTCTGTATAATGTTCACCAGCATAGGATACTTACGTACTTTGCGAAATAATTATACATGAAATGATATTATGACTCAAATTATAATAAATATTCGAACGTGACAATTACTATGCTGAATTTTAGTTGAAATCATAGTCTTTACGATATAATTTTTCCGGATGAAATTTGCGAATCAAATATCCTTGTTTCTAGGCGTGCTCCTTGCATACATTGTGTCCGGAATATCACGATTAGCATAACGAACGTGTCACACACACAACCGGCACGCGTTATAAACATAATACGACTTCCCTTGATTCTAGCCCAAGTCAAGCCAATTTTGCAAATCCCGACAAACCGTAAATTCGGTAGAGTTAACACGATTAGATGCAAGACTCTGTTGCAGTCGATTAGAATTATTTTAATTTTACACCACAATATATACATACTAAAATAGGAAATGTCCTGTTTGAAAAAAAAACAAAAGTTCTACTGCAAATTTATCACTTAATTCGTATGTGCGAATGCTCGGCGATTGTCTTTTATTTTGTCTTTAATAAATCGATCACGACGCGAAAATATGTCATTTAAGAAATTATTCATTTCAAATTAATCTGATCGCTTGATTATTCGCACATCGGTAGCACTTAATTAATATCCATATACAAACTGGTCTTCTAGAGCATGTAATGAACCATGAATATGCTCTAACACTGAAGAATCTGAAGTGTCTGATTGTGCGGAAGATCTCAGTGATCGTAGGAATGCTTAGAAATGTACCAAGGCCCGATATTTTTAATTACTAAGAATGCAGGAAACTTACATATCAATATTCTAAATTTAAAATAAGAAAAAGAAGAATAATGGATACTTCATGATTTCAACGCGTATTGTTTGATGCTTCCTTACAGCTCAATTAATACAATTTACTGATATTTAGTTTATCGACAATATTAATGAAGTACACAAACAAATACAATTATTTGTTGAGAATTATCGAGAATTATCGTATGCTGATGTATAATATATTCCTCACTTATCCAATGATTAAGACTGCCTTGCATGTCTGAAACTAATTTCGTGATTAACGAGTATGAATAAATGTATAACGTTGTTGTAGCACTTCTCAAATTCATTTCGAGATGCTGGATCATGAGATGGATTAAATTATCGGATACTGGTATTTTTGAGCAATCCTAAATAAAAGAGAGAGAGAATGCGAGAAAGAATGATATGTGAAATAAGATTACGTGTGTATGTATGAGAGTGATCTTGCAAGGGTGCATGTGTGTGTGCGTGTATGTGAGATACTATAAGTTTTTTTTTTTTTTGCAAATCGTTCATCTTTCGCCGATCTCATCCGTTATAAGAGTATCTGGCACATTTTCTTTCAGTTACTGGACACCCTCCCGGTGTGCCAAGATTTTAATCGACAAGTGTGCAACCGTCCCGCCTGCAAGTTTATTCATCTCAATGATGGTGAGTTATTCGCGCGTTATTGGCAAGTACAGGTTGATTATGTACGCTTAAATGAAAAACAAGTTAGTATCAGTTTATATGAAATGATGGAGACTATTATGGGAGAAAATGTTCCATGTTGGGATTATAATTAATGTTATAAAAAATATTAATTTTACAATAAAGGCATATCTTTTATTGTTACACGGAAGAACGATTTTGCCAAAGTGTTAAAAAATTTGGCTATAGTTACAGATCTGAAAATAATTTTTGTTAAACTACCAAAATAATTATATAAAATGTTTAAGCCGATTGCTAGAATGTAAACATTTTTTACGACATTACTCATCATGCTCGAGTTTTCTATTATTTTGATGATTCCGACAAAATTATTTTTGGATCTGTATATCTAGCTACTTTTGAATGTTTTAACAAAATCTCATTCTCTCTGCATATATTTTACGATATGTTGTCACATTTAATTATCTATATTTTTCTCAGATACGTTTAATTAAAATTTATTAATCTTTGATATTGAGTTGTAGATTGTGTTCATATTTTTACCTCTTTTACTTTTCATGCGTTTCACTGATTGAAAGATTTATATTAAAAAATTCAAATGCGAAATCATACGACTACGTTTATACTGCTGAATGCGCAATGGGAATACGAGCCAATATCTCGAAGAACATTTAACTCGTTTAATTGATATTCATTGAGCGCTTTGGCGATTTTCAAATTTCTCTTTGGTCACACAGATTGATTTCAGTAACGAGATTTCCGGTAAAATCGGCAGTTTCGGTAAAGTAAGCGTTTCGAGCGACGGCAGAAATTCGGCTATTGAAATTCCTCCACGACGGAACTATTCCCCGCAAGCAGCGGGCATCGGCGATTATGGCCTTGTCTTTCGTCCACCGATCGATTCTACGCGAACTTGCCAATTCTCTCTGCGTGCGAGACGCGTCGCAATTACGTACAATAAATCATTCGCGATTTTATCGCTTGAAGGAGTCCGATTGTCGTTCTACGCTTTTATTTTACTTCCGTTTTGCGACGTCGTTGGCGGTGTCGATCGGTGCCTTCATTATTCTTCGTATTATTAGAAGCCATCGTTACAGCATGTCTTGCTTTCACATTTAGCATGCGAATGATCTTTGCGAGTGTAATGAGACTCTCCCCCTTTGTCAAGCTGCCGTGTCAATTAGATTCTATTCGCGATAATGAGCAAGTAATGTTACTCAAGATGTGAACGAGAAAGTGCTTCTCGTCAATTCTCCAAACAATTAGCGATACTTTTTGCACAATCAATTGCAAACAATATACACTTGAATAACGAATGTATTTCTATCGCAGCAAATTTGCATCAATTCCTTTGATGTCATTGAACGATTGAGAATATTTATGCATTGCACTCTATGAATATTGCAATCAATGTCAAGTTTCTTTAAAGTCTTTCTCTGGATATTAAATAATTTGTACCGTTATACATCAAAAGAGATAATTTTGTATGAGGAAGCATCTTTTTGTACTCATTGCATTTATACGTTTAAATATGTTTAAATTTATGTATATAATATACTTTAAATTATAATTCTGTTAAAATAATTTTCATAATTTGAACGATAAAGCTTTTTTTATTAGTTTCATAAACTTAACCTTCTTGGCAATGATTCATTTGAATCAAAAGCGAAATTTTTTGAATAATTGTACATTCTGTACGATTAGTATTATGAATTTTTAAATCATTGAAAAAAATTTAAACTTTTTTGTTTAGTTGCTAAAGTTTATAAAGGTTTTGTACTTTATACATTTTGTATTTTAAACAGGATGCTTTAAAACTCACAATTAGATGTAGTTTTCATAGCTGTACTTAATTGGAGAATATATTTTAATTTTTACATTTGTAGCCCAAAAACTATTAATATCTCGATTTTGCATGGAAAGAACAATTTTTGTTGAAGTATCTAAAAACTTAAATAGATACAGATCTGAGAAAAATAATTTTGTTGTCAATCATCAAAATAATTATGTAAATAAAAACTCCATTGTGATGAGCAACGATGCAAAAAGTTTTAATTATAGTAATCAGCTTGAGTGTTCTAAATAATTATTACGATAGTTTGACAAAATTATTTTTAGATTGTATCTAACTAATGCTAAATTTTTAGATATAATAAAACTATTTTTTTTTTCCATATGGAACATTATTTTTGACACTGTAGTCTCTGCGCGAAAGAAGCGCGATCGAATTGTGTTTCCAATACTAACGATATATTTACAATTAACTAATGATATGTGTGAACAATCGACTGACCTGATTTTCTAATGAATTTTCAGGAAACGTGGAGGTGATTGACAACCGTGTAACGGTGTGCAGAGACGCAGTGAAGGGTGCGTGCATGCGACCTCAGTGTAAATATTACCACATACCGGTCGCGTTGCCGCCGGCGCCTCTGATGGCGATCGCATCGTCTGCCTCGCCTTAGGGTTACTTTTGCCAGCGGCTAACGCTGGGACCGCAAGAGGAAACGAGGAAGAAGATTCGATAAGTTTGCGCGAACACGCATCTCCGTACATGTCGGGATTATTGTGCATCGAGGCGGCATCAGTAGCGACACCGGCGAACAAAGCGTATGAGAAGAAATGGAGGCACACCGAATATCGCCGTTCTTGTCGTCGATTCGATTTAGCTTCAACAGCACGTCGATATTCCTCCGCGACATTCCTTTCCGATGTACATGCTTATAATGCACACGCACGAATGTGCGAACGCACGTTCAGGTGACAGGGGGGAAATAGCGCGCGGTAGGAAGAATAAGAGTAGGAAAACGTTGCCGAAGAGAGGTTTCTGTTCGGCATGAAGTCGGAACGGAGAAGGAAGAAAATACATATAAGCCCGAAAGTTCTTGCATATGTAAGAGACGTTGTTGCCGAAAGAGAAGACTGAAAGAGAAAGAATTTTGGGTGATTGGATCGTGGAAGTTGAAAGACCGAGTAATCCGGTAAATCGTTGCGTCGTCGTGAAGATTGTATCATCAAAGTATTCGTTAGAAACGCAGCGAGCTAGTGAGCAAAGTCTTCCTTAATGTCGTCTTTTTTTCTTTCGATTTATATTTGGCTTCCCACGCATCGTGTAAGGGTAAATAAACTCGAAACGATTCGGAATAATTCGTAAAACCGGAGCGGTATTTCAACTTTCACGATACTCTTATTTTTTTTCGTTAACTCGCTGGGTCTTTCGGAACGAGTGTAAAGCATCGACGGGAAAACAATGACAACGTTTTGTCCCAGCGGGTAAACATGAAACTTGAATACATCGGGATCCATTCTTCTCGCGATCGAGCGAGTTAGCGAACAATGACCCGCGGTTCAGTATCGTTTAAGTTTCTATGACTTCTCATTGACGTGGCGAAGTCGCATCAGCTCCTTTCTCGGTCTTAATTAATAATCGATGAATAATAGTTTTTTCGAGGGCAGCAAAAAGCTGAAGAAATAAGTTTTATTCTCGATTTTGAAATCTTGCTTTTATGATATCGATATTTCGAATACAATTATTTTTGTTCTATGATCGAAAAATAGAAGAAACAAGAAAGAGTCATATATAAAATACTATATAAGACACTTGTCTTATACAGCAACTTGCAACATTAGCAACGTTAGCAATATTATTACAATATTACTGACGGAACGTTGATGCAACATTGTTGGAATGTCTTGTATATTGTATAGGATCTTTCTTCATCTCTTTTTCATCATAGAAAGAAATAATTGCATTATGTTTTGCAAAGATATGAATGACGTTTATAATAGATTTTATATTTTCTATGTTTGCGAGAACTTCACATTCTCTTATATCTACAATTTTCTTCCTTTTCCCAATTTCTGACATGCACTCAGTGTCTTCTTTCGCCGTGACGTGTGATGCACGTTCGCGCAATGCAAGACATGCTCGTTAGAAAATCCGAAGAGAGTTTGTCTCGAAATATTGTTCTATAAAGGCGTATATTAATATTATACATATAATTATATTATATATTTACGCCAGATTTCGGCGTAAGAAAGAAATCGTAACCTTATCACACATAAGTAGATTAGCTAGGGGCCGCGAATCAACGCGATGAAACAAATGACCGAAGAACACTGATTTTGAAGAAAAAGAAGAAGAGAAACGTATATAATACAAAATATAACGACGATAAAATATCACCGAGATGATGAGAGAATTTACACGAGATATGATATAACGCGGCGAACGCATAACGAAGTTTTTTATACTCGTATATAACAAATCTCAATTATATTTTGTTTTTATGATAATAATGTAAACGCCTGTGTGTATATACGTACGAGGAGAGACATGTATATGTATATGTATGCATATGCGAGAGGGTGTAACGATTTCGCTCGAAGAGGAGCATAATAGTTATCGGCGGATTGATTGGCGGCAATTAGATGAGAGGCGAAGTGAGGTAATGGTCGGAAATGGTCGAAATTTCAGAAACTGCGAAGCGATCAATTCTCTCGCGCGAGAGGAATAGAAAGCCTTAATGAGGTTTACACCGGCTATTTGACTTTCGACCGTCTTACTTGATTCGCGAGAACCGAGCAAACGCCGAAAATCGCACATTCTATAGGCTGGTAAACACTAATTAATTATTACACTACGACAAATGTATATGACAAATTTATATGCATACGATAAGAAATTATATTTAATTAAAGGTAGGCTCTCTTCAGGGGGAGTTGGAAGTATAAAACAAGAGCGATCGCGAGAGGAGATATCGCGAGATATTCTTGGTGCGTACGAAAGCTGCCGAGAGAGACGAGAGGAATCGTTTTATATATCTGCTCTTCGAGACAAATGAAAAAAAAAAAAATGAAACAATCGATCCGCTGGATCGCGTGTATAGGTTTACACGATTGATAGGGAATAAGTTTATACGTTGTTTCAGTCTTCGTAAATACGCGACCCTTCGTAATTACTTTAATTATTGCGTTAATTATCCTTTAATCTAATAATTATTCATTTCCCGTGAAGGACCCCCCTCCATCGATCGAGTCTTTCGTCATTAAATGCATTCTTCATGATAATTCTTTCGTGCACGCTTAATTGCATCTTTGAAGGTAACTCTCTACGATTACGCGTGCACTTTGCATATATACATATATATATATTCGCGTTTGCGAATCTCATTTCTTTCCACAGTTAAAAATTTAAACGATACATTCTCGCGTCCAGAAAAAAAAAACAAATATTCCGAACAATATTTTTTTACAAGGTATACATATATACGTCGAAAATATTAATGTTAAGGCACGCTTGCGGATCTAATTTCCTTGAAAATATCTCGTGGGCTGATGCTCACTCGATAGAATTTGCTCTGGAGAGTCATTCTCAGAGTTTAATTTCATAAAGTATGCCATCAGTCTAAGACTTTGAAAATTTCATTACATATGCTAACACTTACAAATATGTGGCAATGCTTGAAAGACATTTTACCGTCCAGGAGAGGCTTACACCAACTTTCCCGACCAACGACACGATATGATCTATCGAATATTCATACCGAAATATATTGCGAAATGAAAAATGCACTTTTGAACTAGTCATGATGATGGGACAGGATCCTTCACAACTTCCCTTTTTGTACTGTTAGATAATATTATATTCTTTTTTTTAAACTTAGTTAATGCATTAATCGTTTAATTGTTTAATCGATCACATTGATGATAGTTTTAAATAATTATTTAAACGAAATTTAGGAATATAACAAAGTACTCTAACGACAAAATAAGAATAAGCCTACGGATATAAAATAATAAATAAAAATAAAATTAAACGAGTGATTAAAGAGTTAAGCAAGTAAATGTTCCTGTACAGCATTTAAGAATCAAAGGACACTCTTATCAAAGCAAAAGGAAAAAACAGATTATACACCTTTGGTATTAGAAGGGAAAGATCCGAGGCTGGCGAATATAGTTGGAAGTTCAACTTTGTAAATTACTCGTGTACATAAAATAGTATTAATGCGTGAGAAATAACTCTCGAGGTTTTAGAGTAGACAGAATAAAAGTACTGAGGATTCTAGGAACGTCATCGGTTTTCAAATTTGTTTGTTAAACAAATCTACGGACGATCGAAAAGAGCGTGTTTTAGACGCGTGTAATCCGTTTTATAACTTGCATGTACTCCTTTGCGACGAATCGTTCAAATTTTAATGTTAATCTTTCAAACGCGTTTTCTTCCTTTCATTAATATACTTCTCTCTCGACACTGTGATTCTAGTCATGTGTTCGAAATCATTTAATAATATCTTCGTCCCTTGATATTGTCGCTTCTTAATATTCATGATAATTCGTACGTTTGTAATTTTTTATTTACTTTTTCGTCTTTAAAGTATCATTGAGTATGTGATAGGTGGCTACAAACGTAACTCAAGAGGGATATACATGTAAATTCATCGAAACGAATAGGTTTAATTAGATACGTATAGGGAGAAAAAGAAAGAGAGATACATACGTTATATTATATAAAATTAAGTACAATAATCTATGAATGTCCATTTAAGTGATTCAATGACACCACGAAGAGGAGAGCGAAATATTTTCAATTGTGATTCCACTTAGAGTATACTCGATACTTTCTCTTAGAGACCCGGGGTCTGCACTCCTCGTCTTCGGGATATTTCTTCTTCTTTGGTATCGGTAAATTGCAATTAGATCCGTTTACTATGTCTTCTGTACGGAGAGACACCAAGAGCAGGAACGATATTCAGATTCGTCCCACTCGCTGCCAGCCGCTCAGCCTGTTTAGACGAGCAAAGTCCTTCGAGAAGTTATCGATAACTCCTCCTTTCGTGTCGTCTCGCGATGGTACGGTTCGTTAAAGCTCAGGTATGCCCTGATCCCGACGCGCTCGAGAACGAGAGAAACGATGACCGGGATGCCTTCGGCTTATTTTCGAATGGATTTTTCTCTCTAATCGCTAAACGATGAATTAGTTTTAGGTAAACGAAACGGTCACATACAGACAACGCATCTAAGAGCGCGAAATTAACGTCGGACAGTACTACCCGTCTTTCCCTTTAATACCAAAATCTCTAGTAAATACACGATATATGAACGAATATTATAATTAATAATATAATTATGCGAACACAAAATGAGAAAAAAAGAAGCGACGGACAAAAAAAAAACGAAAGAAGGATCGAAGCGCTACTCCGACTTACGGTCGCAAATACCACGAGAGCCATTCTAAAAAGCGATAACTAAAAACAATGAAAAGATAAAAAGACAATGAAAACACGGTGAAAACGTTGTGACGAATCCACTGGAGTTTGAGCTTCCCAACTTGAGTCAAGGGTTTTAGCTGCTGCAGCAAGCAATCACAAAGCAAAACAATTATTTGTAATCAAGTAAAAAGTTCGCCCGCACGAGTTTCCTGACGTCGCGTCGTTTGGCGTCGATAAACCTCACGTGACTTTACGTTTTCGAGAGGAAACCGACGGAAAACGCATTACCTTGTGCAACGGCATGGAATTCGCGGCGGGAGATTTATGTACGCTGCCGCTTATATATCTATATATAATAACAGAATGCTGCTTCGCATGGCCAACGATTGTCTGCTGGATCGCATGAGAAACGCGATTACTCGGAGATAAAGATTTGTCACACATTGTCTGGACGTTAATTCTTAATTGGAGTTCTGTGCCGTTATAAAATTAAGTATCGCAACTATTTCTGCATGCAACTAGTTGAGAATTAACGAAAATTGTTGCGGCGTTGTTATGAAATCGGGACAGTTTTTCAAACACGTCTCTCTTTTGCAATTTTTATTGTTGCAAACAAAAAAAATAATAAATAATCGATTCTGTTCTCATGCGTTCTATCGTTTGTTGGCCGGATATGCTCGTGTGTACCTACCTAGCTTTTTGCGCGCCACGCATTTTTGACTCTGCTAGGAACAGGAAATGAAAATGGGAAGGAGGGCGAGAAAGAAAGAAGGTTAGAGATTGGAGGGAGAGATAGAGAGGAAATAGAACGATGAAGTGCGAAACGTGTTTTTACTCTGCAGAGAAACCAGTCAGCGCACCGACTTATGGTCGCGATAATCGCGATTATTCCAACGAAACGCGAGCGTTTGTTAACGTTTAAGCGATTAATCCGCTTAATCGGATTGTCCATCGACGATTGTGTCAGCTGCATGCCTGAAATTACCTGCACGAAATCCTGACAAGACTTATGGAGATATTATTCGTAAATTCAATCGATTATTGTGCAATATTTGGAAAAAATATTCGCGAAGATGGAAATAAGATCTTTTTTAAACATTTATTCCAACGTATAATCTTCCAATATAACAATTATGATGTTTATAGAAGAAATCGAAGAAAACAAATTGATTTCTGTATATACAAATATATTCTTTTTCTTTTCTGTTTGATAAAAAATAGCGATATTTGAATGAAATGTTATAGTAAAGGAATACAAAATAGAATTTAAAATTTTTCTAAATGTTTTATCTGATGTATTAAATCAATGGTTTAGGAAAAAATCGAGAAATGTAAAAGAGTAAAATAAGACAGGATTAATCGCTATTAGATAGAGAATTTTAATATTGAGCAAATAAAATTTTGTCGAATTTTCGTTTATTTAAAAAAAATTTATTAAAAATTTAAAAATTGATAATGAAAAATATTTAGTGTGTCAATAAATATACAATAAATGTAAACGAGCAATAAAGTAATATCGACATTATGAAGTAAATGAAAAATATTTAGGACAAAATAATTAATAATAAAAGTAATATTAATTATATGTGTGCTGTTTTAAAATGTTTTTTATAGAAATTATAAAATTTCTTAAAATAAATAATTAATATGATATTATTTATGTATTGTATTGTGAATTAATATAAATTTATATTTAAATGTTTGATGAAAACTCCAAGGAAAAAATTTATTTTCTTATTTATACTTTGTTCTTTTTATTTTTTATCACAATTACATATTGCATTTAGTGCATATTTTTTCAATTTTTATTTTAAGTATTTTAACTATGGCACAGCAATATTTAAATGGAGACTATTTAAATGGAAATAGTCTCCTTGTATATCATTTAATCAACACTTTAGTAATAATAATATAAGAATAAAGAGTGTTGTAAGATAATTGCGACAGTGCTACTGGATTTCTCTGCAGAAACGCTTTGACTTCGACGTAGGTTGTTTTTCTTGTTGGTACATGACGATTCGTACATAACGAGAAGTCATGTAAATTAAAAAAAAAATTAGGAGAAGTGATATATTGAGAACGAGAAAGTATAAAATAGAGAAGGGACGGGAACGAGATGAATTTTATTAGAATAAAGGAGATGTAACCGGATGTTATTTCACATACACATACCTACGTATACAAGTATATGTATATACGTGTTTACGTGTATGTGAACACATCCTGAGATTGAGCAATCGCTCCCTCGATGCTGTACGCGATTCTTCAAGAGAGTTCCTTTTATTCAGAGTACTATTGCATATATGTATACGGACTTTTTTCCCCGAGTATGTGTGGGCGATTTTCCTCCAGCTGGCGTGTGTAGATCACGAACGTGGAAAAGAAAGGAAAAGGAAAGGAAAAACATATTTTGGTATGAAGAACAGCGGCGGGTGTCATCCCCAGTCGCACGAGTGTCACGCAGCGATTTTTGAGGATTGCTAACGAGAACGAGGAATGCCCCGTAAGCGATTAACTTATATTTGCAAACGTAATGGGAGAAATTGTCTAGGTAAAAAGAAAACGAAAAAAAAGAATATTTACGCGACTTTCTAGATAAAGAGCCTCGACATTGGTAGTTCGATGTTGATGGATATTAACTTTTTGACTAAGCTAACGAAGACTATAATATTTTTGAATTAGGTTATTAACACCTAGTGGTACATTATAGCCCGCGATTTAGAATGAGAGTCTTATTAACGAACTAATTGCATGTCGATGTATCAGCATAAGCTTAATAGCTTTAGTAGATAGTAATTATCGTTGCTACGGTCGTCCCTTGCAGGTATTCACCCTGCGATTCTCTCCGTTCGCCGCGATGAGAGATTTCAAGAGCAGCCCGCGGACATTCTTATGCCGCTATTTCGTTATTTCTTCATTTCCGCTTTTCATGCTCTCCCTGCGGCTTCTCCCCTCTTGTCCCCTCACCCTCGAGCGAAAGAGAGTGCAAGAGAAATAGAGATAGAGAGTAAACGCTCGCGTTAGTAACGCTTAGCTCTGTAATATTGTACATGAACGTACGTATATACAATGACTTTAGATGAAGTAGAGTATTCAAGATGGAACACTAAACGAACAAAAGCGGAACGCTTCTTTCGAGCTCTCGCAACGAACTTATACTTAGGAGGCACGCTCTCACGGAAAATACTCTATTTCGCTGGAGACAGATCTTGTAGCCGAAGACATCCTACCTTGGAAATGTTCGTACGTATCTTCGGTCTGAAATCGAAAAAAAAAAAAAGCGTCTAAAGTATTCCCCGCCCCGCCCATCCTAACCACTTAGAATACTCCGTTTGTCCGACCACGTAAAGAGGTCTATTACTGGTTAACTTTAATACTAGTTCGTATAGAGAATACCTACATATTACTTACGGCTTGCGAGACAATTGTAATTGCATTTTAACCAACGATTTCGAAGTATAACGTATTAGAAGGTAGCACAAGAGTTCGTTTTGTCCGGATCGACACACTTAAATGATCCGACTCTTCACCCTCTTATTATCTCCGAGTCGTCCATCTCCGTGTTGAAATCGATTAAAATCGAGCGTGTTTCTTCCCCCGCTTGTGTGTAAGCTTTGCGCCTCTTGCGAGATGCTTCTTAGACCCTCGGTCCCACGCGTAAACACGCGCGTAAACACGCACATAACACATATTCACACATACGCATGTATGCCGCAGTTACACAAATATATACTATTATACAGGTATACAAATACATATACACGTACATGATATCCTAGATAATACGTTTTACCCCATCTATAAGTAGACACGTTCGCATATCCAAGAAGCCACGCTAAGGATAATTATATGTATGTATA